AGGAGGAGGAGGAGGAGGAGGAGAACTGTGGGGTCCTTGTTGCTCTCTGAGCTTGGTGTTTTCTTGCAGACATTTCATGACCCAACTAGGGAACATCATCAGTGCTAGAAGGGGGGAGGAGGAGGAGGAGGAGGAGGAGGAGGAGGAGGAGGACGACGACGACGACTGTGGGGTCCTTGATGCTCTCTGGCTTGGTTGTTCTCTTGCAGACATTGCATGACCCAACTAGGTAACATTATCAATGCTAGAAGGGAGGGGGGTTGCAGCGTGGAGGAGGAAGAGGAGGAGGATGACGACTGTGGGGTCCTTGTTGCTCTCTGAGCTTGGTGTTTTCTTGCAGACATTTCATGACCCAACTAGGGAACATCATCAGTGCTAGAAGGGGGGAGGAGGCGGTGGAGGCAGAGGAGGAGGAGGAGGAGGAGGAGGAGGAGAACTGTGGGGTTGTTGCTCTCTGAGCTTGGATATTTTCTTGTAGGCATGTCATGACCCAACTAGGGAACATCATCAGTGCTAGAAGGGACTGGGTTTTGCTGTCTGTTTATATACCTCTATGTTTATATGTAATTGGAGCATTTGGAGTATGTTTATAAGCACTTGGTCTCATTGCAAAATTCCAAACGAGGGCTCGACTAAGTGAAACCACAAATAGGTGACATAAAACATATTTTTTTCTTCCTTAACATATGGGAGCCACCAGGGAGAATGCAGGATCAAATCTTTTCTGATTTTCTGTTTATTCACATTGCAGAAAATTATGTTTCAGCACTGCAAAAGAACTTGGCTAGGATGCTACAACACCAAGGATGCAGCTATTTAGTTCTAAGCTTAAGTCTCTCCTTCTGACAAGCACTTATGCGTTATCATTAACAAGGAGGACATCATACCACAAGAACATTTCAAGTGTGCAGAAATGGACAGATTGACTTTAAAGATTAAAGAGAAAGAAGACTCAGTGTCACTATTTTAGAATGTGGGATAATTTCTATCAATGGCTAGAAAAACGAGTCAGAGAGAAAGGAACGTGACATATAATTTTGAACATATACTAGCATTAGTTAACATATTGTTTATGATAATTAGCTATATCTATTATTGCTAGTTAAATACATGTACCCAGACATTAGGCTGTTTGCTAAATATTGAAAATGTTATTTGGAAAAACCCCAACCCCAACCCTAACCCTAACCCAAATCCCAACCCTAATCCTGACCCCACCTTATCCCCAACCCTATAAAAACTAATAAAATCTATAAAATAAAAAAAAAGAACATTCAAGTTAAATATACTTTAACTTTATTTTTACGGTCAGAGCGACTTTACCTCCATTCCTAATCGGATATCCTCTAGAACTCCGTCCACCACGTGAATTCCAACATCCTCTTGATAAAGGACCAGTCCGGCGAGAAGATTGGCTACACAGTGAATGCTATTATATTTTACATTCCAGATGTTGATCATACAGCATATCACGTAATCTTTCACTTCGTGGTCATGCCAAGGCAGTTTGCGCATTTGTCTCAGGACCTAGGCAAAGTTTTGAAGAACTTTAAATAACTCAAGAGCATTTCTTAAAAAGGTTGGATACATAAATTTAATTGGTTGGGGAGCCCTGTACTAGAGTACTGTAAATTTCATGGGCCCTCTGAGAGTAAGTGTTCTATCCCAGCCTATTGCCATCCTTGTTAGAGGCACAAGGACCAAACCCCTGCTGATACAATAGGCTGGAGACTTTAAAACAAAACAAAATCCCTTTTATTTGGGTGACAAACCTGTCAATAAGTCCAAAACACAAACAGCAAAACTCAAGTCCAAAGGAAGGAAATAGTCGACAGGAACACATTGCAAACAAGACGAACAGACCAGGATTCCAAGAAGCACTTTGCAAATGGTTGCCTTCAGCAACCAGCAATGCCCACACCTCCCCTTTTTATACAGCAGTCCCAGGGCGTTGCCTCTCATTGCCTTCTCCGTTTACTTTGGAGTTGTCGCATAGACTGCTGTTGTTTTTCTCTTGCTAATTGACGACGCCTGCGAGCATCAATTAGCACATCCAGGTGTGAGCCTTCCAAATCTGACTCATGCTCCTCACACAGCTGAGCATCAGAAACACGACTGGAGGGGCCAGGCTCTTCATCAAGCCGTGAGTCCTGTAATTCATCAGAGCCTCCCTCTGACCCTGACGGCCCCTCAAAGGCCTCCTCCACCTCCTCCTCAGATTCCTCAGACTCAGCTGTTGGGAACACAGGCTGGCACGGAATCACAACAGTAAGAGGCAATAACCCCAAACTACAATAAGCTGTGTAATCAAATAACTGAATTGTTACACATGATTTATATCAGTTTACATCGTGAAATAAGTTTGCCACAAATGAAGTAAATTGCATCAATGCTCCTGATCTATTCAGGAGTAAATTTGGTCCGTTGCACGTAACATCTGCTGAACAGAGGTCTAGAGAATTATGTCTGAACATTTTCGATTAATATTCCAAGACAACCACACTGTTTTTGATACTCGTATTCTCTTCATGACCTGTTACCACAATAAATTCCAGATTTGTTGGGACTCTAGGCACATCCTGCTAGCTACAGGCGATCCTCAAAATTCAAAAACCTTTCAAGGAAAACATAAGATTTTTCATTTATTTTTTTAAAAGATGGAACAATGGTTGTTACCAGCTTGTGACAGGTAAGAACTTTCCACAAGAGAAACTCTTTTAAGGTGCCACAAACAAATGATGGAACAAACAAGCCAGCTTACCAAACGGTTGCACTTTAGTGACAGTTTTAAGCTTATCTGTAGTCCCAGCTTAAGAAATTTTGGTTTAAACTATTTACTGAGTAAGCATGCTGTCCTGGAGAACATACACATTAAACTTAACGCAGGAAACTATGCGGAAGAAGTTAATGATCTATAAGAAATCTGAGAAAGATTATTTGGTCTCTGAATCCAATATTGGTTCAACACTGTCATTTTAAGTTCAACTGCCATCGTTGAATTTTAAATCTCTGGTTTCCACCTTGGTTCTTCATTTACAGAATGGGCCAACGTCCTTTAAGGATTACAAAACAGTGAGAAATAAAAATGCTAAAATCATGCATTTAGCCCAGGGGTCCTCAGACTTGGCCACTTTAAGACGTGTGGACTTCAGCTCCCACAATTCCCCAGCCAGCCATGGCTGGCTGGGGAATTCTGGGAGCTGAAGTCCACACGTCTTAAAGTGGCCAAGTTTGAGGACCATTGATTTAGCCAATTGCCTAATTTCATCCTTCCCCTAAACCAGTGGTTCTCAACCTTTTTAATGCTGCGACCCCCAACCGGTCGTAAGTCGAGGACTAAACCGGTCGTAAGTCGAGGACTAAACCGGTCGTAAGTTGAGGACTACCCAACCGGTCGTAAGTCGAGGACTTTCCCTGCCCGGGAGCGCCGCACATGCGTGGTTCCGCCCCCTGCGCCGGCCGAGGCGTAGCTGGCAAGCGGCAGAGACGGAGCAGGCCGACCACCAGCTGG